CATAAAGAAAATATTAAATAGTTTTTGTACAGAAAATAACAGCTAATTTCTATACAGAAAATAGTAAATACTTTTTAGACAGGAAATATCTTATACATAAACTTTTCTATCCAAAAAATAGTGTATTTTCTATACAAAATCAATTATATTCTTCTGTAGAAAATAACGTGTATTTCCTTTTAGGAAAATATACTTTATATAGAGAAGTGTTCATATCTTTTGTATAGAAATTTTGCAATCTATAGCAAAAAACTACCATATGTTTAATTAAGACGAAACTATTTCTTGCAGAAAACCTATTTAGTTTAAGATTAAAATCTACTTTTTTAGATTTTTTGCCGAAGAAATAATTTCTTTGGATTAATTTGGATTTAAAATCATAAATGCGGGGGTTATATTAGAGGCAGTAAAGGACACAAAAGGGGACAAATATTGACAACATATTTTTTGCTATAGAAAGTTATTTCATAGTTTCCCAACATGGGTCAAAAGAGCATTTCCTTCAAAAGGATCTCTGTTATGAAACAGATTATAAAGATGTTTTTTTAGTAGTTATTTCTTACAGAATAGTTAGTGGGTGGGTGCATCATCCATTCCTTACTTGGCCAAGTGATAAATTATTTTGTTTTCGCTCTAAACAAAGTGTAAAGTCTCATAAACTTCGCAGAAAAGTTTACTAATGACTCTAGCATTGATCGTGTCTTTGATTACTAAGTTGATGTCAGAATTAAGATATTCAAAATGGTGAACGTAATCCGTTTCCCTGCAGCAGCCGCAGGGTAACGAATATTGTTCGTTAATTTTGAAATAAAAATAGATATTAAGGATTGTAAGTAAAATGTAATAATCATAGATATTTTTGTTTGAAATTTATGTACAAAATTTTAAAAATGATGACCAATGACAATTGTTTTTTTTTTTTTTAATTTTAGAAAGGAAAGAAATTGGTTGTTGAAATTATAATATGGGTAAAGGGAGGAATTGCAAAGAGAATGTTTTGTGAGTTATTTTGAGTGGGTACCCCACACCAGGCGCTTAATTTTTCGGGGTTAGCTTGAGAGTTGGTTAATTTGCTGATAATTTCGAATAGGTCTCCTTATATTCAATATTTTTTACCTGATAATATAAAATTTATTCATATCGCTAAAATGTTAAATGTTTTCATATTTTTAATCTATAAATTTTACAATATATATCTCATATATTATCTACACTGAAAAATAAAAAATATATCAACAATTTTCTATAAAGAAAACATTACAATTGATTCACATTCTACATTTTCTATAAAGAAAATGTTGAATGTTTACTAAACAAAGAAAAAACATTGCATGTTTTCTAAGTAGAAAATAATGAAATGTTTTTTCTACATGGAAAACATTTTTTATTGTTTAGACTCAAAACATCGAATGTTTTCTACAGAGAAAACTTCGAATGTTATCTACACAGAAATTATAGAATTTTGTCTACACCGAAAACCTAAAATGTTTTCTACATGAAAAAACATCGAAGATAAGAAACATGTAAAGCTTTTAGATAGAAAACACCGAATGTCTTCTACAAAGAATACTTCGAATGTTTTTAATACAGAAATAATCTGCACAGAAAACTTCCAATGATTTCTACACAGAAATTGTTGTCTATATAGAAACATCGAACTAATCCCTCAGAGAAAATATTAAAAGTTATCTGCACGGAAAACGTATAATGTTTTCTACAAATCATTGAATGAATCCCAAACAGAAAACATGGATTGTGTTCTATATAGAAACATAGAATGTTTTCTATATAAAAACATAGAATGTTTTCTATATTGTAAACATACAATGTTTTGTACAAAGAAACATCAAAAAAATCCAACACAGAAAATATCGAATATTTTCTATATAGAAAACATAGAATGTCTTCTACATAAGAAACATAGAATGTTTTCTAAATAGAAAACATAGAGCGATTTCTACATAGAAAACATGTTTTCTACATAGATAACATAGAATGTTCATTCAATGTTTTCTACATTGAAAACATGCAATGTTTTGAACAAAGAAACATCGAATAAATTCCACACAGAAAATATTGAATATAATCAAAAACATAATTAAAAAACATAGAATGCTTTCTACATAGAAAACATAAAATGTTTTCCACATAGAAAATATATAATGTTTATACAATGTTTTCTACATTAAAAGCATACAATGTTTTAAACAAAGAAACATCGAATAAATCCCACACAGAAAATATCGAATATGTTCTACATAGAAAACATAGAATGTCTTCGACATCACAAACATAGAGAGCTTTCTACATAGAAAACGTGGAGTGCTTTCTACATAGAAAACATAGAATGTTTTTCTAAATAGAAATCATAGAAAGTTTTCTACATTAAAACATAACATTTCTACGCTGAAAACAAGTTAGTTTTCTACACAGAAAACATAGAACGTTTTATGCAAACAAAACGTCAAGGCTGGAAACATCAAATGTTTTTTAACGGAAAACATCAAATGTTTTCTACATGGAAAACAGTGAATGTTTTCTACACTTAAAACATTGAACATTTTACAAAGAAAACGAGTAAGGTAAGTTTTCTACTCAGAAAACATCGAATGCGATCTTCGCGACAAACATCGAATGTTTTCTACACAAAAAACATTAAATTTTTTCTACACAAAAACATCGCATTTTTACTATTAAGAAAACATCAAATATTTTCCACAAAAAAACATCGAATGTTTTATACGAGAAAAACATCGAAGATGGGAAACGGCATCCATCTACTTAAAAAACATCGAATGTTTTCTGTGTGAAAAGAAATCATCGAATGTTTACTAAAAAAAAACTTCGAATGTTTTATACAAAGAAAACATCGAAAAATCTCTATAGTGACAACAATACATGTTTCGTTCTTTTTTAAAAGCATCGAATGTTCTCCAATAAAAACATTGCATGTTTTCTACAATGAAAACATAGAATGTTTTCCACATAGAAAACATGAAATGTTTTTTATATAGAAAACATCAGACAATGGGCATCGAATGTTTTCTAACCAAAACATTACATGTGTACTATTAAGAAATCATAAAATATTTTCCACTAAGAAAACATCGAATGTTTTCTACAATAGAATGTTTCACAAAAAACATCGAATGTTTTATACAAGAATAACATCGAAAATAGAAAACGTCGTCCATCTACTTGGAAAACATCCAATGTGTCTACACAGAAAACATTGAATTTTTTCTATGCGGAAACATCGAAGACAGGAAACATCGAATGTTTCTCCATAGAATATATCGAATGTTTCTACATTGAAAACATCGAATGGTCTTTATAGACAAAATATTTAATGTTTTCTATAAAGAAAATATTGAATATTTTCTCCAATAAAAACATCGAATGTTTTCTACAATGAAAACATTGAATGTGTTTTGTATAGAAAACATCAGATGTTCAAGACAGTGAGCATCGAATGTTTTCTACATCAAAAACATCGAATGTTTTCTACATAAAAACATAGCATGTTTACTATTAAGAAATCATCAAATATTTTCCACTAAGAAAACATCGAATGTTTTCTATAATGGAATGTTTCACAAAAAACATCGAAGATAGAAAACGTCGTCCATCTACTTGGAAAACATCCAACAGAAAACATTGCATTTTTTCTATACGGAAACATCGAAGACAGGAGAAACATGGAATGTTTTCTATACGGAAACATCGAATGTTTCTTCATAGAAAATATCGAATGTTTCTACACTAAAAGCATCGAATGTTTCTCCATAGAAAATATCTAATATTTCCTACTTATAAAACATCGAGACAGAAAACATTTTATGTTTTCTACACAGAAAACATTCACATATTTTCCATACAGAAAATATTAAATGTTTTCTACGCAGAAAATAATCAATCCAAAATACAGCGAATATTTTCAAACTAGAAAATATTGGACATTTCAATCCGTAAAGTACAGCATAAATATCGAGAGAACTTCTATGCAGAAAATATCGAATAGGTTTTTTAAAATTCTGTTTTTAGAACATCGACAATTTTGAAAGTTTTGTAGATTTAATAGAAATATAGAATAGATATAGAATAGATGAAAAACCAATTGAAATTCTTAAAAGGTAAAAGGTGATTTATTAGAAACGCAGACGGACAAGATTTTGGCCATGACTAATTTGATAACAACTAGTTGTTAGAAGCATAAACTTGGTGTAGGGTATTAAAATAATCGATTTTGACCGATCTTGCTTGAAGTGGTAACACCAATTATATAAAAAAATTTAACCAAAATGTAGGGCGGGGGATGGTGCTTACGAATTTACGAAATTTTGTTAGTTTTTATTTTCACGCTTCTGTTTAACACTCTAAAGTGTTAAACAGCAATGCAATTGATGGATTGTTTGGTGTCGATTGTAGTTTTCAAAATTTGTGCAATTCTTTCATTTAAACATATTTTAGTAATTTTTCAAAAACATTATTTACTACTTATTCTGGCACACATTGAAAAAAACATTTAGAATTAATTTTCTTCTTTTTTTTTGTTAAATTTAAACTGTTAATTTTTCCCAATTCTATAAAAAAATAAAATAAAAATTAAAATTAAAAGATAATTAAATAAATAATGTTAAGCCTAAAAATAGGCCACATTTTTTTTAAATTTAAGTTAGCGCTACCAAATTAAAAATTTTAATTTTTTTACAGAAAAAATAAATTAAAATAAAATTAAAAATTTTACACACATTTTATATAAAATAATAAAACCAAAAAACAAATTTAAGGAAAAATAATATTTTTAAAATTTTTTTGAATTTCTAGCCTAATTTTCTTTGCTGTTTTTTTGTTTATACATTTAAATTAACTAATAGTTAGATTTAGTTTTTAATCATTTAGCCTTATTAAAGTTAATTTCTTTTCATTACAGAATTTTTAGCTGGGTCCTAATTACATGTGGGCCACTGTGCGTAAGTAAATCATGTTCTATTTATTACCTTATTATGATATTGCATTAATTGAATAATAACTCTGATATCATCACTGTAATTCTTTATTGAAATGACACGCATAATATTGGCAGCATCTTCAGCATCTGGATCCTGACAATATTTATTGGCAAGCACTAAACAGGCATCAGCTTCATGAACCTTAAGATTTTACACAAGAAAAAACAATAAAAAAATAAACAAACGTCAAAAAGGCAAATTTAACTTAAATTTTTATTTTTTGAAAAAAATAATAATTTTTTATATTATTATTTTTTTTTTTTCTTGACGGTTAGTGATTAATTGGTGATATGGACAAATTTTAATTAAACAAAACAAGTTGAAATGAAAATTTAAAAAACAACTTAACTTTAAAATGAAAAATATATTTTTTTTACATTTTGAACATTTATTTTTGTTACGAACTTTAGTATGTTTTGGGTTTATTTTAATGTGGGACAAGTTATTTTTTTATATATATATATGCAACAGAGTTGTATTTTTTTTAAAATAAAGGTGACACTAAGTCGAATATTTAAAGCCCAGTTGGTATATTATTTTTTAAAAGCATTTTATTTATACGCAAAACTAAAAATTAAAACAATAAACTTAAAAAAACATGTATGTGCTTTAGGTTAGAAATTAAAAGAACATAAAGTTTAAAGAAATAATAAAAAACATAGAATCAGGCAATTATTTTTACAGTTATAGAGTTACATGCAGTCAAAATATTTACAATATTTACAATAACAAACAACTACTAGAGATGAGATTTTTATTAAAATAAAATTATGCAATGATTATGTTTTAAATTATTAAAAAAAACAGATTTTATCACTAAAATAAATATCAAAATTACAAATTTAATTTCTTAGGACTAGGGAATACCCGGGAAATATTGATATAAATTGAATACCCAGGCGTTGAAAATTGTACAATATTTATATTATTATTTACATTTCTATATAATTTTTTTAAGAAATTACTCAATGAATTTTGAAAATTTACAAAAGTTCTTAATTTATGGAAAATATCGATTTTTATAAAAAACTTTTATGAAATCATTGAAAATTTTCCATAAATTTTGTATTTTTCGAATTTATTAAAAATGTTTTTTTTTTTTTTGATAATTTCGAAATTTATAATCAATTTTCTATAAAATCGATTTAAAAACTTTTAATAAATTTGCGATCGATTGTTTTTTCTAAATTTCGAATTTACAAAAAAATTTTACTAATTCTAAAATGTGTATTAATATATTTTGATAACGAATTTCGATAAATTCTATACACTTGACAATAGACATGACTATAGACATGTTCGTAGACTTGACTATAGGCTTGTCTATAGATTTTACTATAGACTCATTTATAGACTATACTACAGATCCGTCTGTAGACTTAACTATAGACTCGTCTGTAGACTTGACTATAATAGACTCGTCTGTAGACTTAACTATAGACTCGTCTATAGACTTAACTATAGACCCGTCTATAGACTTGACTATAGATTTAACTATAGACTTGACTATAGACACGTCTATAGACTTAAATACAGAATCGTCTATAGACTTGACTATAGACACGCCTATGGCTTGACTATAGACGTATATATAGATTTAACTACAGACTCGTCTATAGACTTAACTTTAGACACGTCTATAGACTTAACTACAGACTCCTCTATAGGCTTAACTATAGTCCCGTCTATAGACTTAACTATAGACACGTCATACACATGAATATATACTTGACTATGGACATGTCTATAGACTTAACTATAGACATAACTATAGACTTAACTATAGACTTGACTATAGACACGTCTATAGAGTTAACGACGAGTAGTTAACTATAGACACGTCTACAGAATTGACTATAGACTCGTCTGTAGACTTAGCTATAGACTCGTCTATAGACTTAACTATAGTCACGTCTATAGACTTGACTGTAGACACGCTTATAGACTTAGCTACAGACTCGTCTATAGACTTGACTATGGATACATTTATAGACTTGACTGTAGACTCGTCTGTAGACTTAGCTATAGACTCGTATATAGACTTAACTATAGTCACGTCTATAGACTTGACTGTAGACACGTTTATAGACTAAACTATAGACTCGTCTATAGACCTGACTATAGACTTAATTATAGACTTGAATATAGACACGTCTATAGACTTGACTATAGTCAAGACTTGATTATAAACTTGACTATAGTCAAGACTTGATTATAGACTTGATTACAGACATGTCTATAGACTTGACTATAGACACATATATAGACTCGTCCATAGATTGACTACAGACTTGACCATAGAGTCATTTATTGACTGGTCTATAAATTCGCCTATAGACTTGACTGTAGACTTGTCTGCAGACTTAGCTATAGACTCGTATATAGACTTAACTATACACAGGTCTATAAACTTGACTATAGACACATCTATAGACTTAACTATAGACTCGTCTATAGACATGACTACAGACTCGTCTATATACTTGACCATAGAGTCGTATATTGTTTGGACTATAAATTCGTCGATAGACTTGACTATAGACACGTCTATAGACTTGACTATATACACGTCTATTTTACTATAGACTTGACTATAGACACGTCTATATACTTGACTATAGACTTTACTATAGACTTGACTATAGACTTGACTATAGACTTGACTATAGACTTGTCTATTGACTTGACTATAGACACGTCTATACTTGACTATAGACTTTACCATAGACTTGACTATAGACTTGACTATAGACCTATAGACTTGACTATAGACTTGACTATAGACTTGACTATAGACTTGACTATAGACTTGACTATAGACTTGACTATAGACTTGACTATAGACTTAACTAGACTTGACTATAGACTTGACTATAGACTTGTCTATAGACTTGTCTATTGACTTGACTATAGACACGTCTATAGACTTGATTATAGACACGTCTATAGACTTGACTATAGACACGTCTATAGACTTGACTATAGACACGTCTAAAAACTTTACTATAGACTCGTTTATAGACTGGACTACAGACTTGACTATAGACTCTATAGCTTTCGATAAATTTCAATTACATATAAAAAAAAAAATTTAAAAATTCGATTTATGCAGATTTAAATCAATAGTTTCAGATGAGTGGCCTCCGGTAGGTTAGTGGTTAGTGTTCTAGTCTGGTAGACCGGAGGTGGTGGGTTCGATTCCCACCTGAGGCACTGGTTAAGGAGCGCACAACAGGCCCGATAGAGGCCTAGGTGTATTTCTTCGGATTTGATGTATATTCATCCTCCTTTCAAACTAACTAACTAACTTCAGATATTGTAGAATTTTTTTTAGGAAATTCAAATTAATAGAAAAATTTCGCTAAATTTGAAATTTATGTATAAGAAAATTTCGATAAATTGTTGAAAAATTCTAAATATTAGAAAATTATCGATTAATATTTGTCTTATAAAAATAAATTGTCATGTAACTAGTTACTACAGCAGTTCCTTGTGGTTAGGTAAAGGTATTTTATAAAATGAATATCTGAAATATGAGTAATTCATGATTCTTAACAATATTTATTTAAAATCTACAGAAAATAAAAGAAAACATGCAGTTTACAATCTACCATGCATTTTACTACTGAAAAAAGAGAATTTATTTACAATTATATACACACACTTAGAAACAAGAGATTACACTAAAGTATATTTTATTAAATTAGTTAAGTATTTTATTTTAAATATAAGATATTAATAATCTGTATTTTAATATGAATAACAATAATTTACTATACATTTAACACTAAATTGTTCAATTCACAACTGTTAAAGGTTCAAATTATATGGATTGCATTTCAATTAATTGAAAAAAGTTCGATTTAATTGAATTGCATTCACATGGAAATGATATACTTGAAACCAAAAATTTTTAAAATTAAATTTCAATTGAAAATATTTTTTAGTTGTGAATTAACAAATATTACTAAAAACGAGTACAATGAACCAGAAGTAAAATAAAGGCATTTCGTAGGCCTAAAAAGGTGGTTCCCGCTTCAAATCTGTAACATATAATCCAAAAACTGACTTATTAATATAATTTGATTTATGCGATTTAGTCCATTGTACTCATTTTATAAAATACATACAGACATACATAAATAATAAATATTAACATTATTTATTTATTTTCTCAATACATTCACGTTGCAAATCGTTTTACATTTACATTCAGACCTATGATAATCCCTGAAATGTGTATTGTTTATAGATTTTTATAAAATGTTTGATAAGTTTTCTTCCTATTTTTATTATATTCTTAATCAGCTTATTTTTCGGTATATACAAAAAATAATAAGAAATTTAGCGAATGATATTAAAAGGAATACTTCTGTAGAGGAGTTCGGGAGTCGAACCTCTCTGTCAATAATGTACCGTAGCACTTGTATATATAAATCGTGCTAACAATATTGTCTTAAGCTAATTTGGTTTATGGGAAATTATCGAAATATTTATTTAAAACAATAAAACAAATACTGTTAATCTGGACTGTAGACTGAACTTTAGTTTGAACTTTAAAATCGACTGTAGTCTTTAACATAGGCGCGGGTATAATCTGTCATATAGCTTCGACTATAGTTCGAACAATACTTTGCTATATACTCATTTATAGAGATGACTATAGACTCGCCTATATACTTTACTATAGACTCGTCTACAGACTTGACTATAGGCATGCCTGTAGACTATAGACACGTCTGTACACTTGACTATAGGATCTTCTATAGACTTGACTATAAACTCGCCTGTAGACTTGACTATAGACTCTTCTATAGACTTAACTACAGACTGTGTTATAGTCTGGACTATAGAATCGACTATGTCCTAGACTGAAGACTCTAGATCGTTCCTTTTAAAGGACAATGTTTGAATCCCAGTCATCTCTTATCGTTCGTATTTGAATATAGACTATAGTCAATACTTGACAATAGACTTGACAATAGACTTGACTATAGACTTGACTATTGACTTAACTATGACTATAGACTTGACTATAGTTTCGACATTAGTTTCGTCTATACACTTGCCTATAGACTTGACTTGTCCATACACTTGACTATAGACTCGTTTGTAGACTTGACTATAGACTCGTTTGTCGACTTGACTATAGACTTGACTGCAGACTCGTCTATATATTTATCTTCAGACTCGTCTATATGCTTGACTATGGACTCGTCTAAAGACTTGACTATAGACTCGTCTATAGACTTGATTATAGACTCATCTATGGACTGGACTATAGACTCGTTTAAAGACTTGATTATAAACTTGACTACAGACTTGACTATAGACTATTCTATAGCCTTGACTATAGATAGACTCATCTACAGACTTGACTATAGACTAGTCTATAGACTCATTTATAGACTTTACTATAGACTCGTCTAAATACTTGACTATAAACTTGACTATATATTTGACTGTAACTTGACTATTGACGTGATTATAGACTTGTATATAGACTTGACTAAAGACTCGTCTGCAGACTTGGCTATCGACTCGACTATAGACTTGACTATAGACTCGTCTGTAGACTTGACTACAGACTCGTCTATAGACTTGACTTTATACTTGTCTATGGACTTGACTATAGACCCGTCTATAGACTTGACTATAGACTCGTCTATAGACTTGACTACAGACTCGTCTATATGCTTGACTATGGACTCGTCGAAAGACTTGACTATAGACTCGTCTATAGACTTGATTATAGACTCGTCTATGGACTGGACTATAGACTCGTTTAAAGACTTGATTATAAACTTGACTACAGACTCGTCTACATGCTTGACTATGGACTCGTCGAAAGACTTGACTATAGACTCGTCTATAGACTTGACTATAGACTCGTCTATAGACTTGACTATAGACTCGTCTATAGACTTGACTATAGACTCGTCTATAGACTTGACTATAGACTCGTCTATAGACTTGACTATAGACTCGTCTATAGACTTGACTATAGACTCGTCTATAGACTTGACTATAGACTCGTCTATAGACTTGACTATAGACTCGTCTATAGACTTGACTATAGACTCGTCTATAGACTTGTGTATAGACTATATACCCGTCTATAGACTCGTCCATAGACTTGTCTATAGACTCGCCTATCGACTTGACTATAGACTTGTCTATAGATTGTGCTATAGACTGGACTACAGAATCGACTATGACCTCGACTGAAGACTCGAGATCGTGTCTTCTAAAGGACAATCTTTGAATCCCAGTAATTTTTTATCGTTCAAAACATTCTTTTTAATATCATTTTCAATATTATTTAAAACAATTCTTTCACATTTACTTGGCTGCAGATAAAATGTATTTATTAAACTTAAAACTGTTCTGTAAATATTAGCATACATATAAATTTTAGTTGAAAAGTGTTTAAAAAGGAAAAAAGGAAGTAGAAAACAACAACAGCAATAATAAGCTTAAGTATGTAGTAGTTTGAAATTTGTTCAGAGTATTTTCTGCAGAGTAAATGTCTGTTTTGTAAATGTTGAATTATTGAAATGTAGTCAAGAAAACTAAAAGCTAAAATAAAATAAAAAAAAATTATAAAATACAATACTTTTGTAGTTGTAAAAGAAATCAATAATAAAGTAACAATTTCAAAAGTTCTCAAGAAAATTGTCTATTACTGAAAGTACAAAAGCAAAGAAAACTTTTTAAAATTGTTTGCACTTTTATATTGACTGCAATTGGCAGCAAAAATATCTTATAGTTAAAGATAAAAAATAAAAGAAAAAATCGAAATTCTTTAATGAAATATGTATAATAATAAGGAATATATAATAATAAATGTAAATGTAGTAGTAAGTAATATTAAATATGTATTAAATAGTAGTATGTAGTATTTAAAGGTTGTATAATAGTAGTAGAGTAGTAAATATTTTAGTGATTTATAATGTTAAGTGTTTAATGTTAAATGTAGTGAGTTTTGGTAGTAGTTGTTGTTTTAAATAGTTTTTATAACAATAATTTAGTTTATAAATTTAACATTTAGACAACATAAAAATGAACAGATGTTTTTTTGGAATATTTCTTTTTTTTTTTTTCATAAATAACAATTTTTTAACACATTTTTCTTTTGTTTGTTTTTATGGTGAATTACAATAAAATAGTTTTTAATGAGTTAAGAGTTGAGTTATGTTGATTTGAAAATAAATACAAATTATTTAATTAATATAACAAAACACAAAAGAAAAAACTATAGAATTGTTTGATAGAATGTTAAAAGTAGAGTAGAGAGAAAACAACATAAATAATGAGACTATTACCTTAACCCTTTGTAGATCGATGGGATTCATAATAGTGCCTTGGAAAAATTCCACTGTTGTAAAATGACGTTTAAATAAACCTTCTAGTTCCAAATCGGGTGGTTTTCTTTAAGTTTTTTAGATTGTGTGTTTGATTATTTTTTAAAATCATATACAATGAATTGGTTTTTCAATTGTAATTTGGTTTTTTTGATTTTGATGTAAAAAATTTTATGATTTTTTTTATCCATATTAAGTGGGAGAGTTGGTTGGTTTTTGTTTGAATTTTTTTGTTTTTTTTTACAAAATCAGGTTTTGGTTGGATGGCGCAAGAATTTTGACGTTTTAATGTAGGTTTTAAAATAAAAAAATTTACAAAAAAATTGTTTGATTCAATTTGTTTTTTTTTTAAGAAAATGTGGCTTATAATTAATGGAAAATAATTTACCTTAATTACAATTTGATGCCTAAATTAGGATTTAGTTTGATAGAATAGACTCTTATCAAACTAGTTTAAAGACATACTGGTTTTGTTTTGTAGGAGTATAAAGTGTGACCAAATTTGGAAATTTTATTTTAAAAACTCAAAATTATATAACTCACTACAATTTATAAAGTTGGAAACATTTTCAATGAAATATCTCTGATTTAAGCTTTTAAAATTAATTTTTGTCATAAAATCTACCATGTTTTTTGGCTTCATAGTAAACACGTTAACGTTACCTTAAAATATTCACTTTGGACTGATAGTATTATTTTCACTCACTGTGAATGATTAACAATGATTTTCAAACTAGAACTGAACTAGAACTGAACTAGAACTGAACAAGAACTGAACTAGAACTGAACTAGAACTGAACTAGAACTGAACTTGAACTGAACTAGAACTGAACTAGAACTGAACTAGAACTGAACTAGAACTGAACTAGAACTGAACTAGAACTGAACTAGAACTGAACTAGAACTGAACTAGAACTGAACTAGAACTGAACTAGAACTGAACTAGAACTGAACTAGAACTGAACTAGAACTGAACTAGAACTGAACTAGAACTGAACTAGAACTGAACTAGAACTGAACTAGAACTGAACTAGAACTGAACTAGAACTGAACTAGAACTGAACTAGAACTGAACTAGAACTGAACTAGAACTGAACTAGAACTGAACTAGAACTGAACTAGAACTGAACTAGAACTGAACTAGAACTGAACTAGAACTGAATTAGAACTAGAACTGAATTAGAACTAGAACTGAACAAGAACTGAACTAGAACTGAACTAGAACTGAACTAGAAACTGAACTAGAACTGAACTAGAACTGAACTAGAACTGAACTAGAACTGAACTAGAACTGAACTAGAACTGAACTAGAACTGAACTAGAACTGAACTAGAACTGAACTAGAACTGAACTAGAACTGAACTAGAACTGAACTAGAACTGAACTAGAACTGAACTAGAACTGAACTAGAACTGAACTAGAACTGAACTAGAACTGAACTAGAACTGAACTAGAACTGAACTAGAACTGAACTAGAACTGAACTAGAACTGAACTAGAACTGAACTAGAACTGAACTAGAACTGAACTAGAACTGAACTAGAACTGAACTAGAACTGAACTAGAACTGAACTAGAACTGAACTAGAACTGAACTAGAACTGAACTAGAACTGACTAGAACTAGAACTGAACTAGAACTGAACTAGAACTGAACTAGAACTGAACTAGAACTGAACTAGAACTGAACTAGAACTGAACTAGAACTGAACTAGAACTGAACTAGAACTGAACTAGAACTGAACTAGAACTGAACTAGAACTGAACTAGAACTGAACTAGAACTGAACTAGAACTGAACTAGAACTGAACTAGAACTGAACTAGAACTGAACTAGAACTGAACTAGAACTGAACTAGAACTGAACTAGAACTGAACTAGAACTGAACTAGAACTGAACTAGAACTGAACTAGAACTGAACTAGAACTGAACTAAAACTGAACTAGAACTGAACTAGAACTGAACTAGAACTGAACTAGAACTGAACTAGAACTGAACTAGAACTGAACTAGAACTGAACTAGAACTGAACTAGAACTGAACTAGAACTGAACTAGAACTGAACTAGAACTGAACTAGAACTGAACTAGAACTGAAATTTTCTTTTCGAAATCTCTTAAAACAAATTTTTCGGAATTGGAAATGTTTTTTTAAATGATGACATACAACTTGATGCCACTCACATTAAATGATTAACACATAGCCAAATCCTATTCAGTTGTAGTTGTTTCCAAGAAATTTTACTTGTTCTCTGTTGCCGATATTATATAAAATATTCGATTTCCAAACAATTTCAAAATTTGGTCTCACTTTAAAAAAGTGTTTAATATATGTTTTTGTTATTTTTTTATAATATTTACATAATTTCATAAACTCTAAATATAATAAATAGTAAATACATAATAAATAGTTAGAAAAAACGATTAACTTTTCAAAATTTACTTACTACTTTACTTAAACCATATAAAAATATACATAGAATAGAAAATACTTAAAGAATATTATAAAGAAAATTTTATATTTTTAACAAACTCTAAGAAAAATTATTACTAAAAAAATTAAAATAGATCAAAAAAGGCCTATTTAAAAAAAGTAGTAATATTACGTGTTCTAAGTAACTAAGAAAAAAGGTTTGTTTAAAAAAAAAGTATAAACTTTAATTCACTAATAAAATTCATTCCATTGAAGCATTGAAAATTTTCCAAAGCACATATTTAAAAAAATATATATATTTAAATAAGGAAAAATTAGGAAAGAAAGAAAAACTAATACTTGTTTGGTAATATTTAAAAAATCTAGGATTTAAAGCATAAACTTTACTGCAAATATTAAAATTAAATTGTAAAAATATAAATATTTAAGAAATAAACTAATAAGCCTGCTGCTCTCCAAAGAGCCATAATGCAAAACTTGCGGTAAAAGCCAAGAGAATTTGAGAATTTCGAAATAAAAACCATAAAAGAAACCATTTTCAAGTTGCAGTGTAATTTTTCTATATATAAGGTTAAATTTGTTTATAGTAAAAAAGTTTGAAATTTTTAAAACAGGGATATCAAGTGCAATTTTCATTTAAAACAAAACAATATGAAAAAATTAAACTTTAAAAAAAAACTCTTTTTATATGAATTTCTTTCGACTAATAAATGGAAAACTAATTGTAAGTGTTAGAGTAAGGAACTTCTATGATTTCTTGAAATGTCTGAAATGTTGCACAGGCTTTGGACTTTTTGTAAATCGTTTAACGAGTTTAAATTATTTATTGTTTTTTGTTTAAGGGAAAAAAGAAATATATATTTATGTTCGAGTATAAATATAATTGCTGAAGAAAGAGAATTTGTTTCTCCTTTTTTGGGGGGAAAAATTAAAATGTGTTTTCATTTTTTGTTTTTTTTTTTTATTAGAAATGTTTTCTGTTTCTGTGTGTTAAAAGGTGTGTACCTTGACTCGTTCCAAATCGACGGCATTCATCATGGTTCCCTGAAAAAACGCCACTGTTGTATAATGACGTTTTAATAATCCTTCTAGTTCCAGATCTGGCTCCTTGCTATAGTTTGTTGTTGTTTTTTTTTTTAATTTTAATATGCACAATATTTATTTTATATTGTTATTTGTTTTGTGTTTAAAATTTTTAATAATTTATATTAAAAAAATTTGTTTAAAATTTTAAAACAAGAAATTTATTTAAATAATCGCATAAAATATTTAATTAAAATTTAAAAATAATTTAATTATTTGCTAAGCTAAATAAGTATATAAGATAAAATTTATATAAATATTTAATTAATAAAATACTTAAATTTAGTTATTTATTTAAATAAGTTTAATGAAATTTATAGTTATGTTTGATATTAAAAATGTAAATATATTTATTAAATTTGTATAATATGAGGCTAATTTGAGACACTATTGAGGAGTACTATTTAGGACAGTTTGAAAATAACATCAGTTTCATACATTTTTTGTAAAATATAATTGATTAAATTAATTTAGAATTCTGTTTTGTTTTTCTATCAACGTTAAAACATCCTATTTAAAATGAGAGCACTCTGTTGTTTTGTCACTCACTTGGAATGGCTAACACTACAGCAGTTGAATAAGGAAAAGATAAAGAGGAACAGAAGAAATGCTAATACAAAAAAGCCAATTTGAAAAAACTAAGTATTGTTCTTAAGGGACATTAGACAGATCGAAATGATATGTCCGGCCTATTGTCTCTAGAAGTGCAGTTTCCAGAGCTGGACAAATACATTAAATAAACCCTTTGACCTCCTCCCTATCTTCATTTGTCAACTGTTATACAGGGCGTTATTTGGAAAACTCTCATGATGTAGTCTACAGTCTAGTCTAGTCTAGTCTAGTCTATAGTCTAGTCTATAGTCTAGTCTAGTCTATAGTCTAGTCTATAGTCTAGTCTATAGTCTAGTCTATAGTCTATAGTCTAGTCTATAGTCTAGTCTATAGTCTAGTCTATAGTCTAGTCTATAGTCTAGTCTATAGTCTAGTCTATAGTCTAGTCTACTAGTCTAGTCTATAGTCTAGTCTATAGTCTAGTCTATAGTCTAGTCTATAGCCTAGTCTATAGCCTAGTCTATAGTCTAGTCTATAGTCTAGTCTATAGTCTAGTCTATAGTCTAGTCTATAGTCTAGTCTATAGTCTAGTCTATAGTCTAGTCTATAGTCTAGTCTATAGTCTAGTCTATAGTCTAGTCTATAGTCTAGTCTATAGTCTAGTCTATAGTCTAGTCTATAGTCTAGTCTATAGTCTAGTCTATAGTCTAGTCTATAGTCTAGTCTATAGTCTAGTCTATAGTCTAGTCTATAGTCTAGTCTATAGTCTAGTCTATAGTCTAGTCTATAGTCTAGTCTATAGTCTAGTCTATAGTCTAGTCTATAGTCTAGTCTATAGTCTAGTCTATAGTCTAGTCTATAGTCTAGTCTATAGTCTAGTCTATAGTCTAGTCTATAGTCTAGTCTATAGTCTAGTCTATAGTCTAGTCTATAGTCTAGTCTATAGTCTAGTCTATAGTCTAGTCTATAGTCTAGTCTATAGTCTAGTCTATAGTCTAGTCTATAGTCTAGTCTATAGTCTAGTCTATAGTCTAGTCTATAGTCTAGTCTATAGTCTAGTCTATAGTCTAGTCTATAGTCTAGTCTATAGTCTAGTCTATAGTCTAGTCTATAGTCTAGTCTATAGTCTAGTCTATAGTCTAGTCTATAGTCTAGTCTATAGTCTAGTCTATAGTCTAGTCTATAGTCTAGTCTATAGTCTAGTCTATAGTCTAGTCTATAGTCTAGTCTATAGTCTAGTCTATAGTCTAGTCTATAGTCTAGTCTATAGTCTAGTCTATAGTCTAGTCTATAGTCTAGTCTATAGTCTAGTCTATAGTCTAGTCTATAGTTTAGTCTATAGTCTAGTCTATAGTCTAGTCTATAGTCTAGTCTATAGTCTAGTCTATAGTCTAGTCTATAGTCTAGTCTATAGTCTAGTCTATAGTCTAGTCTATAGTCTAGTCTATAGTCTAGTCTATAGTCTAGTCTACAGTCTAGTCTATAGTCTAGTCTATAGTCTAGTCTATGGTCTAGTCTATAGACTAGTCTATAGTCTAGTCTATAGTCTAGTCTATAGTCTAGTCTATAGTCTAGTCTATAGTCTAGTCTATAGTCTAGTCTATAGTCTAGTCTATAGACTAGTCTATAGTCTAGTCTATAGTCTAGTCTATAGTCTAGTCTATAGTCTAGTCTATAGTCTAGTCTATAGTCTAGTCTATAGTCTAGTCTATAGTCTAGTCTATAGTCTAGTCTATAGTCTAGTCTATAGTCTAGTCTATAGTCTAGTCTATAGTCTAGTCTATAGTCTAGTCTATAGTCTAGTCTATAGTCTAGTCTATAGTCTAGTCTATAGTCTAGTCTATAGTCTAGTCTATAGTCTAGTCTATAGTCTATTCTGTAGTCTAGTCTATAGTCTAGTCTATAGTCTAGTCTATAGTCTAGTCTATAGTCTAGTCTATAGTCTAGTCTGTAGTCTAGTGTATAGTCTAGTCTATAGTCTAGTCTATAGTCTAGTCTATAGTCTAGTCTATAGTCTAGTCTATAGTCTAGTCTGTAGTCTAGTGTATAGTCTAGTCTATAGTCTAGTCTATAGTCTAGTCTATAGTCTAGTCTATAGTCTAGTCTATAGTCTAGTCTATAGTCTAGTCTATAGTCTAGTCTATAGTCTAGTCTATAGTCTAGTCTAGTCTATAGTCTAATCTATAGTCTAATCTATAGTCTAGTCTATTGTCTAGTCTATAGTCTAGTCTATAGTCTAGTCTATAGTCTAGTCTATAGTCTAGTCTATAGTCTAGTCTAGTGTATAGTCCAGTCTATAATCTATCCTAAGTATAGTCTAGTCTATCGTCAATCTATAGTCTAGCTGAAAATTAGGTTAGTACTAAAGAAAGTACTATCTCAATTTTCTATGTCTGGTATGGATATTTTTGTGACTAATTCTACAATATTAAGCGCTTTCTATTTTGACTTAAAACTTTATTTTCGTTCTAGTATTAGTGCTAATAGAGTAAACATAACTTTCATAGATTTCTTTTACGGAGTTTTTCACTCTTAGGTCCCAATTTTAACGTCTTGCACTTTTTTAGAATTTTAAAATAATTTCCTTTAACTACTCACTTAACAATAATATACATTTAATATTTCCAAACCACAATGTTATTTTAAAAGTGTCTATATTATCCTTTGATGTTACGTCAACATCAAAGGAAACCAATAATTAGCCTCATTTATACAACATTTTTTAATGTTTTTCATATTTATAATTATCATCATATAGTCATAAATGTTAAATATTGTATTTCTATTTTAATAATAATAATAATGATAATACAAAAAAAAAATAAATGCAATGCATAAACAACTTACCGATGTAAAAATACCACTTCAACATCGACATCTTCACGATCTTCATGCAGAAAATCCTTGAGAAAATGTGACACCGATTCGTATGTTATGTGACCACAGACCACAATATGTCTGTTGATAGATATGAAGGGCAAATTGTTGTTAGTGGGAGACGTCACCATCATCGTCGTCATCATAATTATTGATATTAAACATGAGTTCATGTTAGTCCATTTAATGATTAATGGTTTTCCATTTGTTGTTATTTAAGTTTTTAATTAAATTTTTTTAATCGATTTTACAGGGTAAAATCATTTTGTAATAAAAACAAAAAAGTGGGAAAAAAGAAAATCAATTAGTTTATTTGTATTTATAAGTGCTGTTTATATATATATATATTTTTATATATAAAGCAAAAAAAAACTTATTAATAAATGAGTGTATTTTTAGAATGCATTTTTTTATATTTTTAGTTTTGTTTGTTAAAAGCAAAAGATATGATGAGCATAATTATGGATGGATTAATTTTAAAGTGGTTTAAAAGCGTTTTGTATGTTGAGTGTTGTTATTTAGGGTTATTTGTGTGTGTAGATTTTTGTTTTAGTTTTTACATGAATTTTATGGTCTTTTTTCTTGTTAATAAATATTTTATATAATTTTTTTTTTTGTTAAGGATAATCAGTGGAATAAGTTTATTTTTAAATTGTTTTATATAAAATTTTGACACATATTTTAAAGTTTTAAATTTATATTCAAGTTTTTGTAGCAACAAAGCTTCATACGCAGGAAGTTTTGCATTACATTTTTAATATAGAAAGAAGCTGATGCATTGGTTTCAACGTACAAAACATTTCGATGTACGGTTCAGAAATGGTAATTTTGATACATAATACAGATCATCAGTCCAAATGGGTTCAAAGACCAAGCTTTTAAAATTATTGGGAACTAACCAGGCATTAATTTCAAAATGTTTGATTCAACCAAAGCTACCCTACGAATTGAAGCCAAAGAACCTTAAAATACTAATTTACAAGTCCGAAATTCTACAACGAATCTTTAGTTGGAAAAGTCGAAGTGGTTTACGCAGATGGCAATTTTATACATGGTTCTGCCGGTACATGCAAAAGCACTTTGTTCAAGTATTCGAGCTATATAATATCTGGCCATTGCTACCCCGATGCGTAACTTCCGAGATGTAAAAACATTACTTCCGTTTGGATGGACTCTCTTGATTTTGCAACGGCACCTAGATAAGTAATCGGTGGACCGAAATACGAAGCCATCAAATAAGCCAAAGATCATTAATTTCTTACATACAGAAAACACTTGGTGGTTAGTCTGGTGTGAACAGAGAAAACCCTGAATACACCTTGAAAATGCAAGACAATTCAATGATATCACTTGTATATATAACCTCCCATCTATCACCATTCCATCCAGCACACAATTCTCATGTATTCAACACTTTCATTGAGATAAACATCCGTCACATTTCCTCTAGATATACGCGTGGGTGAGGCCAGCAGGCTCCTGTATCCATCCCGTATCTATACTCTTGACACTTTCCAATACTTAGCATCACAGTCACTCCTCTGCCGGTTATATGTTGTCTTTTTCGGCAACAGCTGCAAACTTATTCCGAAATATTGATTTTACCGAGTTTGGGTTTAAATCGCAGCCATCATGTACACCCCGAAAAGATCTCTCCTATAACCGGGAAAAGACAAACTCCGAAAATCTAGCATGTGGAATACCGGTTCCAGTGGTTCCACATTATATGGCTTTCTATTTCGATCCAAGGAAAGGCCGAGGATATGTTTGACATCACTAGTTTATAGTCCCGACAGACTAAAGGTACTACTAGCAACTCGTATTTAAAGCCCGGCCAAGCTTTCGTTTAAATCGAGCATTAGTCGACAAGCGATCAGAATATGCTGCCAGACATATACCCTTTTAAAACTATTTAGAAAAAAGAAGTTGGAAAGTTTTGCCACACCCATCTTATATATTATCTCATACCTCGCGCCATACTTCTACTATTCTATCAATACAAAATATTATCTCTGAGATACGCTTCTTTCAGATCAGCGTATCCGAAATTGTTTTCATTCGTACTTGGCCTCAAAAAAATATGAGCTCTTCAGTTAGTATAAGTACCCTCAAAATACGTATTAAAAGTCAGAAAAAGGAAACAGCTAGTGCCCTCAAATTTTGTTTAAACAAATGGGCAGTCTAGCTACAATAGGCGTGGCACTTCCCATATAAGAAGAACTTAAATTGTTATATCTGAGAAAATATAATAGCTGGAATTTTCAAATTTTTTAGGAGCCACTTTAATATCAGCATTAATATTTAGGACACAAAATTGGCGGACTAGCAATAGGGGGCATGGCATCCCCCATAGAAATAAAAAACTAAAATTCGTTTATCTGTGAAACTATTGGAGTTAGAACGTTAAAGAAGACCTTTAGCATTCCTGTGAATATTTGGGAGAAGAATGGACAGACTTTTATAAGGGGGGCATGGATCCTCTCATATGAATTAAATAAAAAATTCTATAAATACAAAAATCCCAGATATATGGATAAACTATTAGAGCTCAAATTCTATAATTTTGCAAGAACTACTTTAACATTCACGTGAATGAACATTTGTGTAATAAATTGGCGGACTAGCAATAGGGGGCTTGGTTACTCCCATATGGATTACAAACAAAAATTCGTTTATATGGGAAATTTTTAGTCTTCAAATTCATAAAATGGGCTTTTTATTTATATTGTTTTTAAGGTAGCAAAGCACACTGGGTACAGCTATATTATTATATAATCAAAGTACATATGTTTATTGTTAAATAAGTTTTTGAATATGTGTCAAAATTGTCTTAATAATATTCCAATGATTAACACTTGAAAATTGTATAAAATTTATTTTTATTTAATTGTTATTTTTTTTAAGAAAAGCTGCAATATTTCAATATTTCTTTATTTTTGCGTTTGTATGTGTGTGTATATTGTATTTGTATTTATTGTATAGTTTATATTCATTTAAAATTTTAAATTGGCAAAATAAATTATTTATTGAAGAAAACTAAAAAAAGAACATTTAAAAAAATTAAAATAAACATTTTAAATAAATAAAAAAAACATTTACTTTGTATTTTTAGACAAAAATCATAAATAATATAATTAAAACTAAATTTAATAATAACAATTGTAAAGAGAAGCAAATAAGTAGAGGCAGTTTTTGTTTAAAAAAGTTGTGGTCGGAATTGTTAAAAAAAAAATATTTAATTAAAAAAATATTTAAAATTAAAAAGAACAAAAAATAATATTAAAAGCGTACAAGATGCAACAAAAATATTTTTTTTTGGTTTTTTTTCTTATTCAAATTTAAAAGTTCTTTTTTTTCAAAAAAAAAAAGTATTTTAGTCTGCTACCCCATAAAAAATACATTCATGGATTTGTTAATTTAAGTTAATTTTTAAATAATATATATAGAGATATTATTATAATTATTTGAGTGTGTGTGTTTAATTTTCTTTCATAAATTTTATCACATCAATTGATAAACAAAAAACATTAATTAATTTGAATTTTAGTTGGCAATTAGCAAATAATGGAAAGTGTGTGTTTTTATGAAATATTTCTATAATTTGCATTTATTTTTTAGAAATTTAGATCATAAAACTTTGTTGTTAATTTCTTACAAATTGGAACGCCGGACATTAGGCAGCAAAAACTTACATTGAAAACTAATTAGTTATAAAGCTAATACAACCAACACCTAGTAATTACCACTCGCTTATAAATAGGTAGTTAAATAAGTCATTATCACACTTGCTTACAAATGAGCGATTGAGTAAGTGGTTTGGTTTTACAATTATGAAAAAGTTTAATAAACTTCAAAACACCTTCAAAAGAAAGAGAAAATTATCTTCTTTGTAGGAGAGGACCTAGACTTTTCTGAGCACTACTGGATTATCTCTCCTCAAAGCAACACTTTAATTTTGAACTTAATTCGATCGTATAGTCTTACCGAAACAAGATTTTATCAATTCTGATACGATAGAATTAATTTGAGAACTATATAAGGAATAAATAAAGCTCCCGATCGGACTATAGTTCGATTCACCAGCAAACGACGTTTGTTAAAATTTTGTAAGTCTTAATCAAAATTTGCAAACAGTTTCCAGAGTTCGGTAGAAAAGTAACGATTTTGATACAATTCGTTGTCAAAAGTGAGCTTACCACGTTTGTTAATATTTAGACAACGCATGTGTACAAAATTTAAATAACACCCAGTTATCATTTTGAAAACTACCGTTGTAATTTAGGAAACGCGTCGTTGTCATAGCAACAAGGCATTGTTGTCATTTCGATTACGGTTTGTGTCATTTCGCCAATGAATCGTTATGATTTCGACAACGAATTGTTGTTAATTTGACAACGCATCGTTCTGTTTGACAACATAGCGTTGTCACTTTGGTAACACATTATTATTTTTTTGTTGATTTGATAACGTCGGGTTTTTTTTTATATTTTTGTTGTTTGACACCTATCCGTACATACTTTGACAACGGATGTTATTGAAAAATTATATTCACTTTGGTACCAGGCGTGTATAATTTTAAAACGTCTTCTTTCCCTTTGTGTACTGCTATTTGGTTTTCAGGAATACAACCCGTTGATCCCTGGATTATGATAATTTTTAAAAATTTGGTTTTCGAAAATTTGACGTTATTGTAAAAAAGGTGTTAAACTAACCTCTAAATCGTGAGGATTAATTTAATTTAAAAACTTTTTCTTACAATTTCGACTTTTGAACATTTTGAAAATAATTGTAAATGTTAACATTTAAATCATGAGGATTCGTATGTATATATGTCTTCTTGTATGTCTGGAAGGAATTCGAATTTTCAAGTAGGGGAAGTGCCACGCCCACATACAAAATTAATATTAAAAGTCGCATTTTTCAGACATCTAGAGTCTCTAAATTTGTATATGAACAACATCCATGACCATATAAAAATTTGTGGTCAAAATGGGCGGTCTAGATAAAGTGGGCGTGGCACCTCCTATATAAGGAAAAATATAAATTAGAATGTTTGCAAAAATATAACAGTTAAAATCCTC